GACGTTGAACAGATTCGATTCTCTCGGCACCATTGTTGTAATTCGGATTCCAAACCGCAGAACAATACTCAAGCGTCGATCGTACGACGGAGCAGTAAGAGATTTTAAGCAGTAGGCATCAGTGAAATTCTTAGCTATCCTGAAGATGAATCCTTAAGTCCTAGACGACTTATTGATGACATCATAAGAAATGTGTTGCCTGAATGTTAGCTGTGAATCCAACACCACACCCAGGTCTTCCACCTGATTCACGCATTCGAGTGTCGTTCCAAGCAGGTCATAGCTGAATACAATCGGTTGCTTTTTTCGTGAGAACGTTATGGCAGACCACTTTGCTGGGTTCACTACCATTCGATTTAAAGTACACCAACTGGCGAAGACATTAAGCTGATGTTGAAGAATGTGGCAGTCAGCGATCGAGCAAATTCGTAAAAATATTTTGAGGTCGTCTGCATATGATAATCGAGGTCCTTCGATAAACAGATTCACGTCGTTGAAGTAGAGGAGAAAAATCAACGGTCCCAGATGGCTTCCCTGCGGTATACCTGATGTGGCAAAGAAGCCAGCTGATTTGCAATCTCCTATAGCAACCATAAGTTGGCGACCAGTAAGATACGAGCGGAACCAACTCAAGAGATTACCGCTCACCCCAAGCCTGTCGAGTTTAGCAATCGCAATGTCATGCTTCAACTTATCGAATGCCGCGGATAGATCGGTATATATAACGTCCGTCTGTACCCGTTCAGTCATACTATCGGTAATGTAGGATGTGAGGCATAGCAGATTTTTGGTTGTAGAGCGACCGCCAGTAAACCCGTGTTGATCAGCACTCAGATACTGCTTGCTGTGAGAGAGCAACGGTTCCATAATAACAAGCTCGAATAGTTTCGAAACAGCACTCAGCGATGTAATTCCACGATAGTTATCCACGGCTCGTTTGCTTCCCTTTTTGTGGATAGGAAACATGTGTGCAAATTTCCAGGAGGATGGAAATATACCACTGGAGAGGGACATACGGAATAGACGGTGAAGTGGAGTTAACAAGCAAGCAATATGTTTCTTCAAAAACACGGACGGAACTCCATCGGGTTGAGCTGCGTTGCAGCGTTAGAAATCATCTCAACGTTGACATCAATTGCACCCAGCGTTTGACCATTTAGTGGGATGTTCCCGGATGCGAGGGAAACATGGTCGTCAGTTAGTCTCTCATCAGTGAACACACTGGCAAAATTGACAGAAAAAAGGCGGCAAATATCCTGCGGAGTGGAAGCGACTTCACTGTTCAAATCCATTGACGATGGGAGGTCAGATTCTCTGCGTTGCTCGTTCACGTAGTTCCAGAAGGATTTCGGGTGTAGGTAAGGTTAAGCTGAATACCTCGTTGAAATCGCAGAAAGCATCGACGACTGGTTCGCTGATACTCGTGATTAAGCCTCACGTTGTGATGTTTCAGAGGAAGCGTGCGATACTTCGTAAATCTTCTCAATGCTGCTCTCTTGGTAGACTTCAACCTACGCAGCTCAATCGTCTGCCAGGGAGGGTGAAAGTCTTTGCGGTGAATTCTTTTCGGGACGTGTCTGTCAATGACATAAGCCAAGACATGAGAAAAAGTTTGCGCAGCGGCCTCAACGTCGTCATGATCGAGAATGTTCTCCCAGTCCATGTTTGACAACACATCTACAATGCTTCGATGGTCGGCCTTTCGAAAGTCATAAGAAACCGCAGCAGGAAGACTATCGAAATCACGATGAGGGTGGTGCGGAACAAGCTTAACTAGTGGACAAGGTGCTGTGGAAATGAACGGAGCATTGTCCTTAGTGCTCACGAAGCAGAGGTCCAAACTACGGTTGTTCTCGTTGACTACGTAGTTAATTTGAGAAAGCGTTGCTACGCTATAGTTATCGAGAAGGCCGATAGCTCCTGCATGAAATACAGAACGTTCTGGATCTGGATAGAGGAAGCCGCTATGGGATGGTCTCCACGAAATGCCTGCTAGGTTGAAGTCCCCAAAAATGAATAGCTCATCAATTGGAGTCGCTCTTTCCATTACTGTGAAGACTGAATAACAGTGAGTTTCGATGAGTTCAAGATCACGAACTCGATCTGGAGGCATGTACAATGCGCACAAAAATAATGTGCGATCGCCCAGTTTAATGGCTGTCCAAACCTGTTCCACACCGTTCCACGATTCATTTTCGATTGCACTCGCCTCCAATCGGGAACGGACAGCCACAAGAACGCCACCACCAGTAGATTTTCGGCTGTTGTTTGGATTCCGATCGCAACGAAAAACCTCATAATCGGATCCGAACACCTGGCTGGAAAGCGTTCGCGAATCGAGCCACGTCTCGCATAGGACAATCACGATGTCCTGCTTGCGGCTTACAATCGAACGTCTGTTCTCCCTGGAAATCACGGAAGCATCAGGCAGCGAATGAATATTAACAATACCATGCGGATACTCGCCATAGTGACTGGGTTGGAAGACCCCCTCTCCACATCCGACTACAGGTCCGGAACGACTATGGTGAGCGGCGGCAGCAAATGGCGGCAGCACGTTCCGGGCTCCGAGGTACGAGAGATGATTCGGCGTGTGTTAGCAGATATGCAAAATTTTCGAGGGACAATCCATTCGTCCCACATAAATTAGAGATTTTTTGCTTTTTTTCCAAACGTACTGGAAAAAATCTTACCTTAATTCGAAGTGTTTCTGGTTAACTGACAATATGAATACCACATCATTGCGAGAATTTGTATGTACCACTTCAATACTGTTATGCATTTGACCACAAACGTTTGGTTGCTGGGTACATTATCAAAAAACTTTGGGGGGGGGACGTGGCTGGCAGCAAGGCGAGCGAACGTTCAATGAAAATTAAGTCATAAACAACAATAATTTATGATAGTCCTGAAAAGAACCATTTTGTCGTGATGGTTGAGTAAAGCCATAGAAGGTCCCGAAGAAACGTACTCAAATTTTTTGCTCAGCTCTACTATCTTCGGTCCCAAGCTAATCGATGCACCGCTCGAAACATAGGAGAATCCACGAACCCCTCATTTTATCTGTCAAACTTTCATAGCGAATCAAAACAAACATAGTGTAGTACTAGAATTTCAACTAAAATGGGGTACGTTAATCGATTTGCTTGGGACCAATAGGCTAGTCAAGTAGTGAGAAAAATTTTAAAACGTTAGTTTCCACCGGTTGGTAAAGCTGAGCTATTTGGGTGTTCAACACGGATGAGGCCTTGCGAGCTGTATGTTGTTTGGGACGAGGGTGACGCGCTTGGCATAGATGGCCCACAGCGACTCATGAAGAGCTACTGAATCCGATCAGTAGCGGTGCGGCTGCTTTGGTTAATGGACGCTCATGTGGGCTGCAGCTCGCTGCTTGCGGACAGCTTTTCGTTGTACAGTGGCGAACAATGTTCCAATCGATTAGCTTGTTTAGAATTCAAATCCATCCGCTATTGACAGAGTTATAAGTTGTCAAAACCTGACCACTTTTCGTAACGTGGTCGATTTTGATTTTTTGAATGTGCACCCCAATATGTTGCCGAGAGACGTAATCCTACGTGAAAAATCTGCATAAAAGTAATGAAAATTATTTTAAAAAAAGTCTAAAATGTTTACTAAAAGATGGTGCTCTACGATTTTGGTCAATTATAAAGTGTCTATTGTGTCCAATACTAGAAAAAGTTAGCACATGTTCTAAGCTTTCAAACAAAAAGTTTAAAAATCTTAATAACGTTTTTTTTTTTAGTTTTCATCAGTTTTTTTTTATATTTGTGACAAATTATAGCCTTCGGCTAAAAACAACTTAAGTAATGTAAAAAAAAAATTGTACATTTATCTGAAAAGCCAATCCAGTTTCCTACAACTTAGTCTCAGATAACATTTCGATTATTGAGCCGTTTTCGTGCTATGATTTATTGAAAAATATCTATTACGCGATTGTGGATAATTAAGCAATTGTCAAAATGACCGAATTCAAGCACAAACTTGGTAAATTTCCCCTATTGAACAATTATGTTTCATAGAACTCGAAGAGGGTGAAACAACTCGATTCGTCAGTTGGCGTGGATTTGCTCGTCTGTACCAACAGGTCACACGTATCATCAACCTTTACCTTTACCGAACATTTAATTGCAGAGATATGATCAAATCAATTGAATATACCAGACCTTCTCTACACACTGTAAGCGATAAAAAAGTTCATTTTCATCTAATTATATTGAACTAAAAAAAAACTATCATATAAACCACTCACCAAAACTTCCGTGTGATGACAAAAGTACGCAAATGCCACCATGGTAAATTTTTACTTTTCATCATATTTAAGTTCTGCATCCATAATGACACCGAAAAACACTCAACACTTGTACAAAATTTGGATTCAAGCATGCAATAAAAACGTCTTACTTTTTCGGAGAATCAGTGAAACATTTTCACTGTTTCTACATATAAGTTACTTTCACTATGCATAAGCGCTGAAACATCACATCCTATTTTAAACATCGTGGTTCATATTTTTAGCTTTGTCTAGATCATACGAAACAGTTCCAGTAAAAGTTTTGAAAATTTTCGGAATAATCACGATATTAAACAGAACAAACTTTTTCTGAACGATTCACAAAATAGATTTACGTCACATTGTCATCTTAAGGCAGAAAAGCTCCCAACATGTTCTTTTTTTTTTTTTTTTTTTTTCAAGTGGTATGTCATCGATCATCAAACGCAGATTGTTCCGTCGTTTTCATTAACGGCAATTACATTTATTCTCATCGGTACCCACTAAATACACTACACCCAAATCAAACGACAAGCAGCATTTTTCAAAACAACACATTCTTATCTTATACGCAATTTTCATGCCTCCACGTTGCATATCTCTCTCTCTCTTACAAACCCGTAATGGAAACTAACATTCCCCGGTATAGTATACGTTACAACCTGCAATTAGCTCCAGCACCAGATGACACCCACCAGCGGCGCCTCAATTCAACTCACTATCTTCTCCACTTGCAACCACAGTCCACCTTCGGACGAGAGAACCGGGCTTCGGGGGGAGATTTTCACCGGCACCGGCGTCTTGCTGGACAATGTAAAGCGGTAGTCCTTCAGCAGATACGCCAACCCAACCCGAGCCTGCATCATTCCGAAGCGCAAACCGATGCAATTACGGGGACCTTCGCCGAACGGTATGAAGCAGTACGGGTTCCGTTTGGCCACCTGGTCCTTTGTGAAACGATCCGGGTCGTACCGTTCCGGATCGGAGTAGTATTCCGGATCGTGGTGAAGGGCGTAAACGGGGATGATTAGAGTGGTTCCTTGCGGCAGGATGACGCTGCTGTTGGGAAGTTTGTAGTCCTTGGATACGGAACGAGTCAGGCTGGATACCACGGGGTATTTGCGAAGGGATTCTGAAAGCGAAAAGGGTTCAATTGAGGTATTAATTGCAATGAATTTCTCTTACCGTTGATGCACTGGTCGATGTAGTGCATATCCTGCATTGCTTCGTAGGTCAAGGATCCATGCTTCTTGATTGAGTCTAAGACATTTTTGCGTGCCTTGTCTTGAAGTTCGGCACTCTGTGCTAGCTCGTACAAACAATACGACATCGTGGTGGAAGACGTTTCGAAACCAGCCAAGAAAAACACGAACGCCTGGGCAGCAATTTGCTCGATTGTTAAAGCCTCCATTCCATTTGCAGTATCGTCATTCTTTAGCTTCATCAGCAAACTCATAAAGTCGTTGCGTTCAATTTTGTTCTCCTCCCGAAATTTGACAGTGTCTTTCACTGCGTTCATGAAAAACTCCGAAACTTCCGTATCAACAAGAGAGATGCGAAGCGTGCGGGCCAAGGAACGGAACTGCTGCGCTAGCACGGCTTTTATAAACCTTCCGTTGGCAAACGAGAATATCTTCTTGCCCATTCGTCTGAACTGAGCGTCCGGATCGTGCAAACTGTTGCACTCCAACCCAAATGCGCAGCTACCAATCACATCGGTTGTGAATCGTGCAAGAATCTCCTTCATCTCGATTTCACCGTTGGTTGCAACTTCCTTACTCATGAGCTTTTGGAACTCGTCAGCCACTCCAATGATGGTCGGGAACATCATTTTCATCTTCCCCGAAGTGAACGTCGGAGTCAACTTGGCCCGCAGATTCTTCCACTTGGTACCCTCCATCGTGAAGAGATGTGCAGAAAGGGGATCGTCTTTTTCGTTGTAGTAAACCGATCGATCATGGAAGTACTGGAAATCTTTCACCAAAGCAGTCTTGATGAACTCCAAATCCAATGCTATGGCTACCGGGTTGATAAAGAAAAAGATACCACCGACTGGCCCTTGTCCCTTAAGTTCCTGGTAGCAGCTTTGCATTTGGGCCGAAAGATGCTTCGTACGTCCCATTCCACGGATGTTACCCGCCGGGAAGCTTGGTTCCACGTACGGAATTCCTCGATCTTTCCAGTAGGAATACCGCTTGCGCACCCAGACCACCGCCAAGGTCATCGCCAATGCGATTAGATAGAACCACATTTTGATTACACCTGGTTGCTTGTTTACCGGAATTTCAATTTGAACTGATGGCTCTCTCAGGTGAACAAGTGAATATATTGCGCCATCCGTAGAGCTATTACCCTCGCATACCTCTATGATGTCAGTCTGGGTAAGCGTAAATTCGTCATAAAATGATTCCGCGACATTTGGAGATGTACCAAAAGCATTGAGGCGTCCACGCACACACACCCCTTTCGTTAAACTCTTGACGGTGTGGCTGAAAAACATAAGAATGATAACAGAAGTATGCCTCCTCAATCTCGGATAATGGATAATGGTGGTTGACATTTTCCTTCAAAATCTGGTTAAAACCGGTTGAGGTAGGTACTATCAATGAAGGAAAATAATTGCGTCTGTTGAATGAATCAATCCAGGGTGATTTAATGTATAGACTGAAATTTTGCAAATCATTCGACAGGCGAAGTTCGTTATCGTATCGCTGCGATATGAACGAGATCAACTGATGTGTACAGAGGCCGGTTTATTTCCTCAGGCGGTTGAAATTGGTGAGAATTCAAAACTCAAATTAAGACGCCAAGTGCCAGCTTTTGATCAGGGAATGGGATCTGGGATCTGGGATCATAGAAATGGTGAAGGGCCGAATACAGTGCGGAATAAGTAGTATGAATAACGGCGCCGGTGGTGTAGTGGTAAGCGTGATTACCTCTCACCCCAGCAGGCCTGGGTTCAATCCCAGTCGGCGCCGCCGGGATGTTCTGAGGCATAACATCTCTGATCACGCCTTCCTTCGGATGGGAAGTGGGCCTTTACGATACCTTTAAGGAACGGGCAACGTAGGATCTCATAAGAGACGAGCCCAGACAGACAGACAGACAGACAGACAGACAGACAGACAGACAGACAGACAGACAGACAGACAGACAGACAGACAGACAGACAGACAGACAGACAGACAGACAGACAGACAGACAGACAGACAGACAGACAGACAGACAGACAGACAGACAGACAGACAGACAGACAGACAGACAGACAGACAGACAGACAGACAGACAGACAGACAGACAGACAGACAGACAGACAGACAGACAGACAGACAGACAGACAGACAGACAGACAGACAGACAGACAGACAGACAGACAGACAGACAGACAGACAGACAGACAGACAGACAGACAGACAGACAGACAGACAGACAGACAGACAGACAGACAGACAGACAGACAGACAGACAGACAGACAGACAGACAGACAGACAGACAGACAGACAGACAGACAGACAGACAGACAGACAGACAGACAGACAGACAGACAGACAGACAGACAGACAGACAGACAGACAGACAGACAGACAGACAGACAGACAGACAGACAGACAGACAGACAGACAGACAGACAGACAGACAGACAGACAGACAGACAGACAGACAGACAGACAGACAGACAGACAGACAGACAGACAGACAGACAGACAGACAGACAGACAGACAGACAGACAGACAGACAGACAGACAGACAGACAGACAGACAGACAGACAGACAGACAGACAGACAGACAGACAGACAGACAGACAGACAGACAGACAGACAGACAGACAGACAGACAGACAGACAGACAGACAGACAGACAGACAGACAGACAGACAGACAGACAGACAGACAGACAGACAGACAGACAGACAGACAGACAGACAGACAGACAGACAGACAGACAGACAGACAGACAGACAGACAGACAGACAGACAGACAGACAGACAGACAGACAGACAGACAGACAGACAGACAGACAGACAGACAGACAGACAGACAGACAGACAGACAGACAGACAGACAGACAGACAGACAGACAGACAGACAGACAGACAGACAGACAGACAGACAGACAGACAGACAGACAGACAGACAGACAGACAGACAGACAGACAGACAGACAGACAGACAGACAGACAGACAGACAGACAGACAGACAGACAGACAGACAGACAGACAGACAGACAGACAGACAGACAGACAGACAGACAGACAGACAGACAGACAGACAGACAGACAGACAGACAGACAGACAGACAGACAGACAGACAGACAGACAGACAGACAGACAGACAGACAGACAGACAGACAGACAGACAGACAGACAGACAGACAGACAGACAGACAGACAGACAGACAGACAGACAGACAGACAGACAGACAGACAGACAGACAGACAGACAGACAGACAGACAGACAGACAGACAGACAGACAGACAGACAGACAGACAGACAGACAGACAGACAGACAGACAGACAGACAGACAGACAGACAGACAGACAGACAGACAGACAGACAGACAGACAGACAGACAGACAGACAGACAGACAGACAGACAGACAGACAGACAGACAGACAGACAGACAGACAGACAGACAGACAGACAGACAGACAGACAGACAGACAGACAGACAGACAGACAGACAGACAGACAGACAGACAGACAGACAGACAGACAGACAGACAGACAGACAGACAGACAGACAGACAGACAGACAGACAGACAGACAGACAGACAGACAGACAGACAGACAGACAGACAGACAGACAGACAGACAGACAGACAGACAGACAGACAGACAGACAGACAGACAGACAGACAGACAGACAGACAGACAGACAGACAGACAGACAGACAGACAGACAGACAGACAGACAGACAGACAGACAGACAGACAGACAGACAGACAGACAGACAGACAGACAGACAGACAGACAGACAGACAGACAGACAGACAGACAGACAGACAGACAGACAGACAGACAGACAGACAGACAGACAGACAGACAGACAGACAGACAGACAGACAGACAGACAGACAGACAGACAGACAGACAGACAGACAGACAGACAGACAGACAGACAGACAGACAGACAGACAGACAGACAGACAGACAGACAGACAGACAGACAGACAGACAGACAGACAGACAGACAGACAGACAGACAGACAGACAGACAGACAGACAGACAGACAGACAGACAGACAGACAGACAGACAGACAGACAGACAGACAGACAGACAGACAGACAGACAGACAGACAGACAGACAGACAGACAGACAGACAGACAGACAGACAGACAGACAGACAGACAGACAGACAGACAGACAGACAGACAGACAGACAGACAGACAGACAGACAGACAGACAGACAGACAGACAGACAGACAGACAGACAGACAGACAGACAGACAGACAGACAGACAGACAGACAGACAGACAGACAGACAGACATATGTTGAAATACCATGTTTACAACTAAGTTCAATATAATTACTGTTTTCAACTAAGTTCAATATAATTACTGTTTTGTAACGAATAGAAGCCACTTGTTTTCAGCGTGAAATGACGATTCATACCCAACACAAATTGCAAACCCACCATTACAAGGCATGAAATCTCCGTTATCAGTTGAAACTGAGTCACCACCAAACACCTTCCTCCTCCAATGCTTCTGAACTGCGACGGAGTGACACACCCGCCAGATAATAACAATCTCTATTTGGCACTATATGTACAATCAGCGAATAGTTATCTGAAACCCACTTCGGCTTCATATTTCACCCCCACCGACGGGTGTGATAAAAGAGCTCGTTCAATTAGCACATTCGTCACATTAGGACAGCACCAGCGCCGAGTGAGCTACGTTAATCCACAGTCGCAACAGCAAAAGCATGTGGTTCTACCTACTATTGACCGTGGTCACGTTGACCTACTTCTGGGTCAACCGGAGATTTTCCTACTGGAAGCAACGAGGTGTACCGTACATTGAGCCCACCTTCCCGTACGGAAATCTGAATGGCTTGAACAAATACCATTTTGGAAAGATGGCTCAGGAGGTGTACTCAACATTGAAGGCCACTACGGGAGCCAAGTTGGGAGGAATGTTCTTCTTCGTTAACCCGGCGGTGATAATTCTGGATTTGGACTTTGCCAAAGATGTGTTTGTGAAGGACTTTCAATACTTTCACGATCGAGGAGTATACAGCAACGAAAAGGCGGATCCAATTACGACCCATTTGGTCACGATGGAGGGCACCAAGTGGAAGAATCTAAGGACCAAGCTGACGCCAACATTCACTTCCGGTAAGATGAAAATGATGTTCCCTACGATAACCGCAGTAGCTGAAGAGTTCCGGAATTGTATGGAGAACGAGGTGGCAAAGGGAGGTGAAATCGAGATGAAGGATTTTTTGGCACGATTCACGACGGATGTGATTGGAAGCTGTGCTTTTGGGCTGGAGTGTAACAGTTTGAAAGATCCTAAGGCGAAGTTTAGGGAAATGGGAAGAAAAATCTTGAGCACAACTCCGATGGGGTTCCTGCGGAGGATTCTGAGTATAACGTTTAGAGATTTGGCCAAGGTGCTTGGAGTGAGGCTTTCCGATCCGGAGGTGGCTAACTTTTTTATGAATGCAGTGCGAGACACGATCGAGTACCGTGAGCGGACGAATGTCCAGCGAAATGACTTCATGGACTTGCTGATCAAGTTGAAGAATGCGGTGCCCATCGAGGAAGGGGGTTCGAGTCAGCAGGGAGGATTGACGTTCAACGAGATCGCAGCACAATCGTTTGTATTCTTCGTTGCTGGCTTCGAAACGTCCTCCACGGCGATGTCTTTCTGTTTGTATGAGCTGGCCATAAACCAAGAACTTCAGGACAAAGCTCGGCAAAATGTAGAAGAATTGTTTGCCAAACATGGCTCAATGAGCTACGAAGCGGTGCACGAAATGAGATACATCGAAAATTGTATAAATGGTAAGTTGAAAACAGTCATTTCGATATGAAAAAAATAAATTAAATTATCATTTCCGCAGAATCTCTCCGCAAGTACCCGCCTTTGCCAAACATCCTACGGAACGTAACCAAGCCGTACCACGTCCCGGATATGAACGTCACCCTGGAACAAGGCTACCGCGTACTCCTGCCGGTGTATGCCATCCACCACGATTCGCAGTACTATCCGGAACCGGAAAAGTTCGACCCGGATCGGTTCAGCCCGGAAGCA